TGCCTGAGCATTGTATTTTGACACTCTAAATCTCAAAGAGCAATCTGATTCCAATTATACTGTTATAATGTGCTTGCAATTATAAGTTGTTATGATACGTTGTTCGTAAAGTTTTCCCACTGTGTCTAAAGGATCTTGTAACTCTCTGCCCTGGCTGGGGGGGAGCCTGAAGCTGCAGCAAGCAGCGTAAAGAAAAAGACACGTATCTTTATATTACTAGGCAATCTTTCAATGGCATGGAGACAAGATAAATAGAGAAAAAAGATGTCCTTCCATTTTAGGCTACAAAAAGGGCCTTCAAGTCCAGGGCAGTTTACTCTAGCACAGGTTTTCAGCACAAGAAGGAGGAGTTAACTCCTCTCCGTGGGAAGTGTCAGAGGTTAATCACCCCCACATGCCAAGAGCATCACCAGAACATCAAGGGAAGGTCCATCTAGCTAAGGAAACTTATTGTTTATTGCTTTAGAGCTTTGTAATTCTGTTCCGTTGCTGCAAATCTTTGTTGCAGTTACGTGTATCACAAGGACCTTCTTAAGACCACTGAGTCAAGGACCAAATGAGCAGGACTATTGACACAGACCTCTCCCCACTTCCACCTACCTCATCGCTCCCCACAAACACCTTCCATTCAATTGAACCATGAACAGGGAATTTACTATGGAGTTTGCTTTTACATGGAGGTAAGACTCAGGCGCCCACTGACCGGCATTTAGACAAATGTTGCATTGGTTCTTCTTCCCACAAAATACATTTAGTTTTGAAACTCTAGCATATATACCATATATTTTTCAGAAGACAGATTTCCATTCCCCAGTTTAATGTGAATTAGAAACTCCACTGATTTGCACATGACATGTGAGTGACATTTCACCTGCTTGCTTTCACTTTGATCTGGAGCAAAGTGGGAACACACCTTCAAGGGGATTATGTAGATCCGGCTCAAGGTTTATTGTATTTTCGACCTTCCCGTGAATAAAGATGCTAGTGAGCGCTAACTGTGAAAGCTTTGAAGGGAAACTGTCCATTCAAACCTGCATGAAAACTGCTCAGCTTAATTCTTGTAATTGAACACAAACGAATCACCATATTTTTGGAAGACCTGAACTGAAGACTGACCTTAAGAAAAAAGGAGAAAAATAATCCTCTTTAATCTGAGGTAATTCACAAAATACATCAGTAAGACATAAAATGTTCTTACTGAAACAAATGTGAGATCTTAGTGACTCCAAAAAATACAGCACAGGAGTTTTGCAGAATAACTTGTTCTGAAACAGCCCCCCACCTGTCCCAGCATAGACACAACCAAGTCCCTTGGGAAGCAGGGAAATTATTCTGACAAAATGTTGCTTTTATGATGAATAGAATCTGTGCAGAATGGAGAGGTATTTGAGAATTGCTTATTTCAGTCGATTACTGTGCATAGACAAGACTTCAATGACAAATGGATTTCAAGTGGCAAATATTATTACCTTCTTTCTCTGTTTTTTTTTTTTTTCTTTTTTGAGAAAAGTACTTTATGTACTTTGTAGGTAGAAGGTTAAAAGAAGCTTTTCAGCTACAAATATTCAAAATAAAGGTGTGCCTTTTGTGGTCTTATTAACAATAATTCTTTAAAATAACTGAAATATGTAATCACATTGTGCAGTGCAGGGACAAAAACATACGCTTAATTCTGCATTTTGTAACCAGTAGCGCTGGTTTACCTTCAGGTATCCAGCCCTTGAATGGTCCTGCTGGGTTATCAAGCGTCTCCTCTGCTGTTGCAGGCACCATGTCATATCGCCTTCAAACCTTCACCTTCAGGCAGCAAAGGCTTTACGCCTCCTCCAGTTTGACTTACAGGCTCTAATGGGTTGGCACTTTCTTCTTATTTACAGCTTAAATTACTCACGGCCGAACAACACCCAGTTGTTCTTCAGCCAAGATCTCTCTTCGGTTTAAGTATGTCCTGTCTCTCCTACCTAATAGTTAGAGACAATAATTTTGTCCTCTCTGTCCATTCATTTTGCTAAGCAAAAGCAGCTTTTCCGATCTGGTCTCGCGTACAGCCCAATTAACTCTGCACCCTGCCTCTGCTTGGAGTTCAACCTTCTGAACCCCTCAAGCGTTGAAGTCCAAACCATGAGATATGCTCAGTGAGTTTTATCCAGCGCTACGTATAGGTGAAATAGGAAAACAACAGCAATAATGTAATTAAGGCCTAGAGAGGGGAGGAGGAAGGGGAAAATAAAAAATTAAACCAGAACATACATAAGGCAAGTTTTCTGTGGGGCCTCTGGAAACAGAATCTCAGTGACCTGACATTGTCCCTCTCTTAATGAATTTATCCCCCTGCCCCAATCTTGAATGAGTCCTGCAAATGATTTTCAGATGACACGTGAGCAGCCGGGCACACAGAGGGGGCATTTCAGCTTCATCCTTCCTGAAACCACCCTTCTGTTCCTCGCTCAAAGGCAATGGCAGGACTCGCCCGCGCCCATAAGCCAGCGCTTCAGGTGAATACACTTTACAGTAAATATTTTACAGGCTGCTCTCAGTGGCTGTAGGTTTGCATTTTAACAATTAAACCTTGTTGTTGGGAGTGCACCGGGAGCTTGGGGCAGGCAGAGCTTTTCCTGTATATTACACGTCTCTTTCTGATATTTTTCTGCCTGATTAGTAATCACTTCTGACAAATCCTTTCGACAGGTCTGAACACCAGCCTTAGTGTTGCAGGGATGCTTCATGCAAAGCCTGACTGAATGCAAATGTTAGGCTAATGCAACGATGCCTGACAGCATTTTCTTCACTGGACACCAGAGGGAGGAGGAGGAAAGGACAACTGGCAGTGAAGCTAAAGAAGAACTGCTTCAAGAGCCCTGAAGGAGCTTATCAGACACCAGAGCCAAATACATTTCTGTAATCGGACCAAAATAAATAGCGGCACCTTGTCTGGGAATGGTACTTCTGATAAAAGACTTGGCAGGGGTAACACGAGGTAAAGTTACGGGAGAAAGGACCCAAGTGCAGGAGCACTGAGTGCCAGGTGCATTTTAGCCAGCTCCATCTTACAAGCTTTAAGCAAACCCGACTGTTTTTGATTCTGGGGCTACTATCGCTGCCTGTATTCTGCTTGGCTTCTGTGCCACAGCTTGTGTGCCTTTCGGTCCAGCCGTCTTCTGGATGTGAAGAAAAACATGTTTCAAGGATTAACTGTGGATCCGGGGCCACCACCGTTCCTGAGTCCCGTACCATGAGAGCGTGAAATTTGGAACTGCAAGTGCTCTACGCCGAGATAGAAATGTCAGGACCTTGAAGGAGGGAGGGAGGCAGTGCAAGGAGTATCTATCTAGGAAGGTGATAGAAAATGCTTAACATGCGGTTAGTATCTCGATTAAATAAAAAAAGAAGAGAGAGATTCAGCAAGATTACCTGGGAACTATTTACTATCTTATTAAAACTATGCTTTTACTTCCTCATCAAATCTTTTCATTATGCCTTCAAGGCATAAGGAGGATTATTAAATGTCAGCCACAATTCAAATAATTAATGTATGGTGTTACCAGATATATATACGCTCTCCAGGAGGATTAATAATAGCTGCTATTTTTCTTCCAACCATATTTTCTCCATAATACATATATTAATCATGAGAACGCAGTGCATTTTTTAAACCTCTCTAGTATTGAAGTCTTTAAGAAACTCACACTTTGAAAATTGGAGAATTCTTAATATATTCTGTTCTCTAATTTTTAATTTACTATCAAAATACAACAACACAGTAAGCACTTGGAAAGGAAGGAGTATAAGAAAGGCAGTGCTTTCCCCAGAGCTACTATTAATTGCAGAATCAGTGTCCTCAATTCCTTGAAACAGGTCTTTAAAAACAAGAAACCAGAGTTGCAAATTCAGAAAGTAGCTTGTCCCCCATTAAAATGGACTGGCATTTGTTGCTAACTTACTACAATCAAAACACTTTAGAAAAGGCATCAGAAGAGTCCTTTTATATCAAACACTCCTCCCAGGGCTGGCTGGGGGCTGCGTTCAGCACCTATTTGTCAGCTTAACTCTGCCTCTACAGCGTGCTCATCCCTGCAAGGCGCTGAGCAGCAATCTGCGTGTTGTCCATAAAAAACGCTGCATGGGAAAGGGAGTGCAGCGGGGCCGGGGCTTTGCCCCTCTCGGATCCCCGCTGCCAATGCCAGAGCAGAGAGAGGGAAAGCCGATCCCTCTGCTCTTGACTTGGCACTCAACAGCTGACATGGACTTTCCCTGCGAGCTCGATGCTAACTGTTTCAGTAATTTTAAACCACAGACTAAAAGTGTGCTGCGAGGTGGGGTGTGCTACCTCAGATTACTTTACACTTACCATGTTTTTGTTCCTGTGGATGGACTGACCCCACTGACAGGTTACCTACTATCCATGCTCCCACGTGGGCTGCAGGCATACTGCCTGTAGGGTGTTTTTTGTACCTGCTGGTGGCTCCCGATTAAATAAACATGTCCAGAAGTAACATTTCAATTGCTTACAACTTGGAGAAATTTAAATTCTCCCTTCCACTCCCAACTGTATCCCAGGTGTAAGCCTTCCACAGTGAAAAGTCATCGGATATCTGATTTTGCACACTGTAAATTACAGAACGTATTACCAGCCTCTTCCATCACCCAAAACAGCTCAAGAAATGTCCATGTTCTATTTAAAATAATGAAGTTTTACGAGCATGAGATCAGGGTTTGTTATGTAAGTAAAGGTGTAACCATACCACCCTTTTGTGCATTACCAGAAGACGGGTGTAGTGCACGTGCGCATGGGAACTACATGAACATTCCCTCCAGTGCAGCATCAAACAATAAATAATTTTAACCACCTACGTGACCTGACCACTGCCAGCTTGGGGCAGTTCCTACACCTCAGGACATAAACCATTTCTACAGAGAAGTTTAGGAGAGCAGGTCTTTCATGACATGGGTTTTTTTTAAGTTTCAAGAAGAAATATTTTAAAGCAGTTTTGAAGACTTACCTCCTCGCTGCACCAGCAACGTGACTTCGCTTCCCTTAGGACATTCAATCAGCATATCCACCACCTGGTTGTGAGTGAGGCTCTGCACATTCTTCTTGTTGACTTCGACTATAAGATCGCCCTCCTTCAGGCCGCGGCACCGTGGGCTGTCCACAATTTGTTTCACTCTTTGGCCACCCCCACCGGGACTGTCTGCTATAGTAAACCCAAAGCCCATAGGCCCTTTCACTATATGCACAGTTATGAGTTCAGGTTGTGTTGCTATCGAAGATGCCAAAGAGACCGTGTCATTGGGGTAACCATGGGGTCCGTTGGAAGAGACCTCAGCCGGGCTGCTGGGTCTTGCTTCCTTTGTGCCATTTACTTTCCCTGTTTTACTACTGTGGCTCGCAGGGGAGTCGTAATTTTCCTGCCCGTTCACAATGATCGGCTCTTTGTCCAAAATTGCCACGGACGTAACCAGGCTCGTGTTGGGATCATCGGGATCAAAGGGCAGTGGGTAGCCTCGGCACAGTTCAAGGTCCACGCTGGCACCGATGGGGATGGACTGGAAGATCTTCACAACTTGAGCGTGAGTGTGCCCCAGCACACAGGTATCGTTCACGCTGACTATGACGTCCCCTGCAGAGGACACAGACAGGTATACCAAACACATACATTTTGTGCACCCCAGGAAGGTGAGGACTAGAGCCTGCAAGCTGATCCGCAGCATCCACAAGTACCACTCACAGATAAATAGTAGCGTTTAAGTACTTTTGCAAGGAAAAGGAGCGGTGACACTTGGGCAAGCAAGAACTATCTGTACACAATGGATCCACTGCATAAAGCCTTTATATACATATATGTTTTTTGAAAGTGAAAATGGAATTGGCTCATGCAAAAAATTAATAAATTTGAATGATAGTATATGGCCCATTTAACAGTTATTTCGAAGCCCAGCTCTCACTGTTATACACTGTGCTACACTGACATATGATAGAAACAAAACTGAGAGCACATGAGAGCTATAACAGAAGGCTCTCAAATACCAACTGCTCAAATACGGTGCCACATGTCATGTCTCAGACATACTTCAGCCTGAAATCTAGGTATCGATTAAGTTATGATTCATTTTTTAACACTGGGTCTGCAACACAGGGATGTTTAATGTTGTGATGCTCCACCTGGAAGTGAGGAGTTGTGACCTCAGGTGAATCCAAACAGGATTTCATCATGCTGGGCCTGATCTCTGGCAAAACAAATTGGCCCTTGGTGCCTCCACACAGGGAAATGCAAACTAGCCCACTCCTCTGCCCGTTCCCTGGGAATAGCTTTGGAGAGGGGGTGAGCGGCATGGCAGATACAAAAACACACAGTGATGCAGCCCTACAAAAATACCGCAGCCATTGCCACGGTGGGGCACAGTGACCTGCAGCCTGACGTGGGACCCTATGACCGCTGGCTCCTCTCCACAGGTCAGTGTGGGGAGAGCAGGAGCTGGCAGAGCCCCAGCTGGATATTTTGACACCTGAAGTGAATTTCCAGCATGTGAAATGCCTTGCTATAAGATTTTGAACATATCCCTCAATGTATCTCACTTCCCTGCTTGCTGATTGGAAAGCTGAATGCCTTTCCCCAAAAAAAGGATGAGGACTGAAGTTCTTTATGAATTGCACATAAAGCCAGCTGTAAAAACATAAACCAAAGTGGTGGCGGTGATTTTGACTTAAAGCATCGGTACCTGTTTCCATTTTGCCATCCAGTGCTGCGGGGCCGTCAAGCACCAAACTTTTGATTTGGAGAAATTCATCCGGCTCATCCCCTCCAACGACAGTGAAGCCAAAACCCCTGCTGCTTTTCCTTAGCTTGGTGTGGATGAACTTCCCTTTCAACTCAGAAGGGTTTCGTGTAAAAAAAGGTTTTCCTGTGTAGGAAGTTTGGAAAATCTATAAACAGGCAGGCAAGAGGGTTTGATCTGTTTTTTCTCTGCCCCTCCCTGCTCTAACAAGTACACGGACAAACACAGCGGTGTGCTGGGACGGGACTGAACTTCACTCCAGCATCCTCTCACCTCATCGCACTCCACCCATCTCCTTGGATCCAATCATGCAGTAAAAAGAGTGAGCAAAATCCCTGGTGCTTTGTTAGCTGTGGTTGTGCACACCAAAGCCCCAAGGCTACAAAGGGGAAAACATGCTGCTTTAAGGAATGCAATATATTAAAGCTGGCAATGCTGGCTTAGAAATGTGTCTCATCTCTGTCCTGAGGTGGTTATATCCATCCCAGGAAGGATGGGACAGGGGCAGCACAAATGCCTCCTACAGAAGGAGTCTGCAGCAAGAATTTATGCAGAAAGGAATATCATTATGTTTTTCACCACTTGGCTTTCTCCCAACCGACCAAGCGAAAAGCAACTTCTGAGCTGTGGCAATACCCTGCGTAACTCTTTAGCATGACCCCCCCCGCCCCACCGTCGCTACCGCCCTGTGACTTCTTCTGGTGAAAAAGGGGAGGGTGCTGATGTTGTTCTTCAGACACTGTTTGAAGTCTTTTCTCTTTCCTTTCTGCTCCTTGCCTATTGTGGATGAAACACTGCCGTTGTGAAGTATGGCTCAAAGAGCAGCCTGGGACTGGAGCGGTTGTGCAGGAGGGCTGTTAATGCTCTCTGGGAGCACGGTTAAGAGGGAACAAGGTGCTCCTAAGACAAAAGCACATCCTTGCAAAGCATGTTGCACAGGCTTGGAAAAGAAATCACAGTTGCTGTACTTCACAACGCCAACACTAAACACCTTTGCACTTTTAATTGTTTTTAACGCTTAGAGGGGAAAAGACTGTGCCGCTAAGCCCTCTGGTGACAGCTCCAGGATCAGCAGTGTGTATCGCAGCCAGGAGAGCTGGTGTACTTTCAAAAACTTTGGCAGCATTGCCATGGTCCTCTGTTCAGAAAGGAGACCTTAAAGGAGAGCGAGGGGATTCGAGACTTGTTAGCCTTTGACTGGAGGGAAAAAAGTATATTTGAAGATGAGTGGGCAGTGTGAGGACTTGCAGCCTTTTGCCTTTGAGGGGTAGCACAGGAACACGGTAATCCTGCACATTGTGGGCAGATGCTCTGCTCAGACCCCAAGCTGCAAAAAAGCCCTGACTATCAACGTGCAACCCAACGTCTCAGGTAACAAACATGGCTGAGAGGCAGCGTGCAGCGGGGTTGGTCCTGTGCTGATTTCTGGTTCAAAAGAGAAGCAGAACAAGCACAGCTTGCTAGCATCTGCCTACAAATACAGGGTGAACTTGCCCTGTAGTAACATAACCACAGGCTATGTCCCACCTACAGCATTTGGGAGGGGATCACATTTTAAATGAGTGTATCTACAAAACCCCAGCTGGGAGAGCGGTGCCAGGGGCACAAGGACCCCCACGTCCCCACCAGCAGTACCATCACTGGGAGAGATGGAAACCCCTGGGCATAGGGCAGGGGGACAGGGAGGCTGGAAATGGCTGCTGCAAATGGGGAGTGGGAGAAGAGGGAGCAGCACTGAGAAAGGAAGAGGAAGGAATGAAAGAGAGAAGGAGTCATCAGTGGGTAACAGGACATGTCACTCAGAGTGATGCTGAGACAGGCTAATGCTCTCCTGTAACGCTGTTGCAAAATTTCGGTAGCTGGCAGTGGGGAGTGGGTGGAGAGCTGAGTGATGCTTCTAACGTCACCCTCTGTGTGACAGGTCCTTTGTGTTGCCACGCACGGATGCTTGGGCAGCCCTTGCTCCGGCCTGACAGTGTAAAAGTGTAAAAGGCAGAGGTGGCATTCACAGATGTCTCCCTGAGGAAGACCAGCATTTTTGGGGCACTCTGATCCCCTTTAGGGATGCCTAACCCCAGATGCCTGGTGGTCAGGGCACCATCCCCAGAGCTCCCGCATTTTTCCTTGCTGCAAGTCTGGATTACTCTAATGTACTCTAATACCCCTCGGGAATGCGCTGGGGGCTTTGGATACTGTCAAATTTGGCACGTCTGTATTGGAAGGGCTGACCTGCTGCCACCTGCAGCAGAGAGCACTCCCTGGCAGGGAGGAAAGGCAGCCGGGGAGAGCAGCACCCTGACGGGCTCGCCTTCAGAAACCATGGCTGACCTGCAGAGCAAGGGAGTATTTCCCAGCTCCTGGGGCCAGCCTCACCCCGGCTGCTCCCAGCTCTGTCAGGATGATGTGCTCCAGCCAGATTCCTCCTCTCTCACCTTCCCTACCCTCTGGTTCCTGCCACTTGCTTGCTATGCAATTTAGATGCAGCCAAAGATGAAGCCTACTTACAACCACTTGTAACTAGAGGCACTTGTTCTGCAGCAGGTACAAGTGGAACTCTCTGCCCTTGCTGGCAACCTGATCTGGCGATGTTTCAGGTCACGCTGCAAATTCAGGAACGATTCATGTCCTGTCTGTGAGCAGTTAGCTATACACAGACCATTGACACTAACAAATACGGCTGTAATAGTCCAAAGTATTTGTACACATGTGCAACTTCCAAATAGGTCCACAGTATTTGGACCTACTATCATTCTCTCCTTATGCACAGCTTCCCAAAGGAGCTTCAATTCAGATTTTTCAGAAAGAGGATGTAATTTGCCCCTGACATGGTGCCTCCTCACCCTCTGTTACTACAGAAAGTCAGATTCAGCGTGGAGGCCTGGTAGCTCTGCAAAACTCCCCAAATGGCAAAGGATCTCCCTCTTCTGGTGTTTTCCCAGCTCCTACCCCCTCCAAATTTGCATTTGGATTCAAAGCACACAAAAAGGAATATCCACAAAGTTGCAAGCCAGACTCATCCCTGGCAATTCCAGAACCTGGCTGCTCAGACGTCACAAATGCAACGAAGGCACCCAAGCTCTCCAAAACCAAGGTCCCGCCAAACGGTGCCGACAACCTATGCACCTCACAGCTCCCAAACACGCTGACCAGTTTCCAGGGCTCTTAACTACTTTAACTTGAAACTCTACCTGCCCACAAATGCAGACATGGCATGACATTGGCCTTGGCTCTCAAACTAAAACATGACCATGTTAATACATGTCTGTGTCTTAATCACAGTGCAACATGGTGAGATTTTGTGCTGCTTTTTGGGAGGGAATGTTGACCCATGAGAACAGAAAGAAATCTCTGCACTAGATCTTATTATAAGAGCCACATTCTAAACTCAGTAGAGTTTAGAAGGTGTAAAAGACTAATCCTTGCATGTCCATACAGCTCTGTAGAAAAGGGTCTCTTCCTACTTGCACTTGCCTCCACCGCAGTTGCGGTTAAATCCCACCGATGTTGTAACTCATGTTTTCACCATGCCTTCTTAAAGACTTGGAACGCTACACAGAGAATAGCCATAATCCTTTTTTGATGCAGGCGATCTCATTTGCCTCTTGCATTTGGCAACAAATGTGGTCTTGAAACATCTAGTCTCAAAACCTATGGGAATTCAGATAAGCAGGCACGTGCCCTGGTGCGTGACACTAGTCATGGAGATACTCCCTTTGCTGGTGGCTGAGGAAATTTCATTCTCAGGAAAAAAAACCTTGTTGCACTTTTACAACTGGTTTAACAAGGTTGTTACCTTGCACTGGTGCTTCCCGAACTGCCTCCTGGTTGTTTGAAACATGGTTTGGAGCAGCGGGTGGTGGGAGAGATGGACACTCCTCTGTCCATTCTAGAGAGGGTAGAGAGGGAAATGTTACTCGTTTCACAACAGCACTGTGAGCTCCTGCACGTACACACACTGGGAGTGTGGGGTTCAAGCAGAGGAGACGTGAGAAGCATGGGAAGAGAGGAAACGGAGTCACAGAGAAAGGGAATAAAATGAATGGGATGTTCAAAAACCAATTCTGGAGGACTCTCTATGTCCAGGTCAATTGATCCGTCTGCTGGGACACCCCACCTCACACTCAAACTTGCAACTTGATTTGCATCCAAGTGGTCTCGGCATTTATATGAAATCTATTCTCCATGGCACTCATGGCATCTAAGTACAAGAGCTGATGTTGTGGGCAATGGGGCTGAAGGAGGAATGTTGAAGCCTAAACTATTTTCTCCTTGGATAATAACTGTTGTGAAATAACTTGGTGTGACAAGCTATGAAGGTACCAAAACAACCCCAAATGCCACAGGCCCCTCACTGCAGTTGGGCTGCATTTAAAGGAAAAAAAAAAAAAAAAAGAAAGGAAAAAAAAAAGGGGAAAAAAAAAAGGAAAAGAAAAAAAAAGTGTTCTAAAATAATGAAATTACTTCAGATGTTAGAGGTTGACAACATCCAAAGGTCTTGGGTTAAACGTCTCTCATGCAGAGGGGTTTCTCTAGTGCGCATGTAAATGCCCACTGCTCATCCCCTTCGACAGCCTATGAGTCCCAATACAGACTGGAACAACACCAGCTACAGTGAGTAACTTGATGGAGCAGATTAAAGAGGAAGACGTGTGTTTTAATTGTTTCTGGGAAGCCTAGAAACTTTCCAGAAATAAAGGACATTATCAGAAAAATCTCTCCCTATTACAGGGGTGAAAGCTACTATGTTTAAATGGTTCAGATTTTCTCCTTTGCTGCATCTTATGTGAAGGGCATATGCAACCTTTCCTACGCAGGACATTTTGTCTTTAAATGTTGTGGCCACAGAAGGAAGGACAAACACATTGGCATGGTGCTGCCAAGGCGAGGGAGGGCACATTCCCTCATGAAAACCCCAACCATCACGCCCTCGGTGGTGCCAACCTTCTGGTGGCTGTTGCTGTTGCTCAAGCTGTTTCTTCCTCTTCGCTTCAAGAACTGGGTTTTCATATTGTGTCTTCCGGTTGATGTGGCTGGGGATGAAAAAGAGCAAT